TGCTGTTGTCTTAGACCAGTGACCCCTTTCACAGGGGTCACCTAAGACAATCCTGCATATCAGATATTTACATTACGATTCATAACAGTAGCAACATTACAGTTATGAAGTAGCAATGAAAATAATTTTATGGTTGGGTCACAACATGAGGAACTGTACTTAAAGGGCCAGAAGGTTGAGAACCACTGTCTTAGACAATTTGCTTGGGCTCTATTTCCAAAGTCGGCTGCAGCTGTGCCAGCCAGCTCACGGGCTTCTGCTGACCCGCATGAAAGAAACAGGAGCTATGCATTTTCTCACTTGTCCAACAGTCAGAAACTGAATACTCTCGGCCTGGAACTAGAACATGAACTTCACACTTGTGCAAAAGATGGCAGACATGTGGGCTATGTGTTCACCTATCCCTATGCGTATCTGCCTGGAAAAGCCCACACTTCTTTTTCATCTTTCAGACTTTCTGAAGTGAACTGTGCTCTTAGGCAAATGGTTCTTTCAAATCCATGTAATCAGAGAAGTGGCTTTCTAGCAGTTTCCCCCGTGCTGACAAAAGTGGTAGCCATCTGTTATGACACTGACAAATGACAGCTGAGTGACTATATTGCCATATTCAGGAATGAGTGGCCCAGTGTTAGACACAGGAAGCAGGCTTCCAGGCCCAGTATATATGCACGCCAGTGGTATAAGGACATGCTTTCCAATGGAGTTCATCCAAACACACCCAGTCCTTCAAAAGTAACATCTCCGTTTGCAGAGGAACCCTGTTTTTGTACAGAGGGGTTGAGGAAGGTTACTCTTATCTGTGTGTAACCTGGCCAAAGTAGGACAGTTCCTTGGGCCACCTGCAGGCCAAGGGGCTCCTATGGAGCCCAGATCTGGGCTGTGGCTGTACCTTGGCTGCACTTTTTGCAGTTTGAGGAAAGGTCACAGGGTGTGGATGGTTCTCCCACAGCACTGCTGGGTGCCAGCCACTGAGCACGGAGAGTGGCTGGGACTACGCCTATCTCTCTGTATCACCCCTCCCTCTGCCTCCCTCCCACTCTTGCCCATCTTTCCGTGGAAATAGCCTCAAACCCTCTCCACTTCCCATCTCAGCTGGCCACAGCACAGAAGACTGGTTCCATCATCTCATTCCTTTTCTGCGGCCTATCCCAACTTGAAATGAACTATTGCCTACCGATTCTGAGCTCTCTGTACATACATTTTCTCCAGACAGATTCTGGTCCAAGATTTCAGCCAGCTTTTAACTAGAGCCAAAGACAACATCCCCACCTGTCACCCTAAAAGCCTTTGGTTCTGTTTGGACTGAACATCTGCTTCAACAGCATCCAGTGCACAGCCACAGGCCTGGAGCTAAGCACGCCACATCAATACAGACAAGGGAAGAGCAACTCTACACAAGCCAAAATAGAACCGGAAACCGAGCTACTTATTTGAATACTAGAGGCCTGGTGCACAAAATTCGTGCATGGGTACGGTCCCTAGGCCTGGTCGGTGAACAGGGCTGATCTGTGGGGTGACCGGAAGGGCAATTGGGGAGCTCCTGATGGCACCCGCCTTGGCCTGCCTGCCACCACTTGCTCAACGGCCCCGCACCCTGCCGCTGCTGCCGGTCGCCTCTCTCTGTGGGAGGCGACTTGCCAGGCGATGGGGGTGGGGGGGCAGCGCCAACCCGCTTGCCAGCCGGCCCCACCCCCCAATCGCCCTGCCGCTTCTGCCGGTTGCCTCCCTCTGCAGGGCAAACAGTGGGATGATGGGGGTGACCCCCCCTCTGGCACCCACCTTGGCTGGCCTGGGGCCTGTGGGCTGGGGGTAGTTCCTGCATTGAGCATCTGCCCCCTGGTGGTCAGTGTGCGTCATAGCGACCGGTCGTTCCACCGGTCGTTCTTCAGTCGATTTGACATATTAGGCTTTTATTATATAGGATTTCCCTCTTTTTGTCAAAAATCTTTCTTAAGATGCCTTATCCAAATCATTTGATGGAAATGGATTCTGTGCTGGAAGCTCACTTTTTGCTCTAAGGGAAAATGTAATGTGAGGCAGGTCACCTAACATGGTTTAGTAGTGACGTTCAGAAAGGCCTCCTTACAAGATTGTCCATGCCTCCAGCCCACTCGTCTTTAAATCCATTCTCCACTCAGCCACCAAAGGTTTCCTAAAACCCGGGGCTGATCATGACTCTACCCTGATTAGAAGTCCTGAGTGGCTCCAAACCCCTTACATGATAGAGTCTGGTTCCTCCATACTTTCTACAAGTTTCTTTATGATTCGGTCCTGCCCACCTGTGAAACGAACACCCCATCTCTGCCTCCCACCTTACACCTTGTGCTCAGTGCACACATCATGGAGTCCTATGCTTCTGGGCCTTTAAACGTGCTCTTCCCTCATCCTGGAATGGCCTGCCTAACCTTTTGTCCTCCTAGGAAATTCCTCTTTGTTTTGAAAATCTAACTCCACTATCATTCCTTTCAGGAAGGTTTCTCTGGTCCAGAGGACAATAAACCATTGCTTCCTAATGCCACCTCTGCACCCTTGCCTGTTTGTAACTTGTCTATGTGCCTCCTTTACTTATGAGGTGCCCTCAGGCCTGGCCCATAATCCAAGCTCATACATGTGTTTTCTTAATGTACAAGGAATGGACAAATGGATAAATATGAGGTGGACTCCTGGCATAAAGTCCAAGGACAATGCCCAAATTCCAACAAGCTCTGGCATATTCATCTGAATGAGGCCTCCCTGTTGTAAAGGGAATAAAGAGAATTTGTTGAATGCAGAGTCAATCAACATATCTCTGAGCTACAACCACTCACACATAAAAAGCTGCATCAATGGTTGTGTCCACTCCACCCTTTTCTTAACATTGCTTGCCACTTACTATTCTAGTCACAATGATTGTTTTCTTTTAACGTCAGCATAATGCCTGACATATAGTGGGTGCTTAACAAATATTGTGAAGGGACCAATGAATGAATGTGAAGTCTACTTTTATAAAGAAGGCATCAAAGGATTGGCTTTTAAAGGCATTTCCTATATCACAGACTTTTCTGAGGCATCAGTGCCCCTGATCATTGGGTTGTCCATCACAAGACCCAATCAAAAAGCAGAATGGGGGAGGGGTACATGGGGGCTGGGGTAGCAGTTGGGAATCTGCATTGGAGAGACACAGCATTGGGTTTTCCTTAGTCATATCAGTTTTCTTTTTTTCTCAAGAAATAACCCAACTATGAATGGTATTTCCTGCCCAACCAGCAGTCCCCTGCATCTCCTTTGTCAGAGATCCACACTGGCCTGGCCACAGTCCACGTTAACTAGGAACTTAACGTGCACAGATGAGGGAGAACAGGGTAATTTCCTGTCTTCATTTCCCGTACTGACATTATACAGTGGAGACCAGTCACAAAAATGGGGCCTGGACTAAAACCACCACCCCTGGGGATTAGAGATTTTTTGATCACCACGGCTATTAAGAGCAAAGGCTCTGGACTCAGGCTGACTTGGATTTAAGTCCAGGCTCTGAATCTTCCTAGCCAAGCCACCTGGAACATATCAATTTTCCTTTTGGGGGCTCAGTTTCCCTTCCCATAAAATGGGACTAATCTTACCCATATTATGTGAGGGTTAAAGGATGTAATGTATATAAAGCCTACACAGTGTCTCTATATACAGTAAGTGCTCAAACATGGAAAACTATGATTAAGAACTTTCAAAAATACTTTTACAATAATCAGGACAAAGAGGGAAAATATCCTTTGAAGACACTGTGCTTTAAAGAGAATGGATTGTCTATTTTTTTTTAGGAGCTAACAATGCTCATTAATCAATACCCCATGGAAGAATATGAAAAGACAGTGTTAGCATTTAAAATAATAGCTGTGGCCATTACTAGGCCCCAGGATGGACATAGTGACAGGGCCAAGGACACCTAAGCCTCTCTGATTAATCCTGAAAGGTTCATCACCAGAGTGACTGAGTTGGAATCCAAAGGATCCAAGGCCAAGGTGCCTAGGGTAAGATGCCAGTTCTAGACCATGAACCAGTGCTTCTGGGTTTGAGGGAAAGCCAGGGGACCCCTCACTGCCAGGCAGAGTGAGGTGGGTAGAGCTGCATGTGTCATGCAAAGCTAGAAAGGGCTAGCATTTTTTATCATCCTCATATAACCCAAAGGCAACCGAGGACCTACCTTCCCCCAAATGTCTGCCCTGAGCATGAGACAACTGTTTTCTAAGCTAAATTTGGTTTTACTTTGGAAGCTCCTGAGATACACAATTTGAATGGGTCAAGCTCCTGGCATCTTACACTGATTAATTATCTCCCATTCCATGGACAGCTTGGCTTGCCCTGTGTCTGCCAACTTTTACAACTCTTCCATCCATAATTCAGGAGGTTCCATGAAGAAAGCTCAAGGTTAGTGGTTGGGGAAGCACAAGCTAAGCCATCAGTCCTTGGGAACAAAGATTAATTTCTGCTGGAGGGGACAGGTCAATTTGTCTGGTTACTGTGAGCAGCAAGGCAGGGACCCTATGAAAAAGAGGAGAGAGATTTCTAAACATAGTGATAGCTCCGTCCGTAGGAGATCGGGTTCCCATGAGGAAAAGGACCTTGTTCAGGGGAAGCCTTGACCTGATTTTTAGTCTGAGCCTGTGAGAGCTTGTGGCCCACTCTTGCCCTCTTGCCCGAGGTTCAGCTCAGTGGGCAGCACCCTCACAAAGGCAGCCCACAACTAGGCAGTGTTGGGTAGTAGAAAGAGCACTGGACTGGAGGCCAGGAGACCTGAATTCCAGTGCAGGCTCTGCCACTAACTAGCTGTGTGACCTTGGAAAGTCACCTGATTTCTCTGGGGCGATTGTAAATGAGGGGTTGGTCGGGCGATCTCTATGTTCCCCATCAGCGTGTGGTCCAGGGTCCTGCTCTATCCCTCCTTGGCCCTGTGCTTCCAGGGGCAGAGATGGGAAGAAGGGAAGGTGGGAGAGAGGATGCAGATGGGAGCCCCAGGGTGCTATGAATCAGGACTCCACCTTCTCCTTCTTTTTGCTCTTTTTCAGGAAGGATGGGGTTCGGAATTTCTTTTTCTTCTTTGAGGGAGATTTGGAAGGTGAGCCCTCTGGGGACATGGGGCCGCTGGTGACCGACTCGGTTTTGTCCTTAGAGGTGTCAACTTCCGTGTCGGCATTGGTGGTCATCTGGCTCAAGCCTTTGCTGAGAATTTCCTCTGCGGTCTGCTCGTCCTCCCTCCCGTTGACCACCACCCCTTCTGGCTGCTTTGTTTCGGGCTCTGTGGTGGCTTTGCTTGTTTCTGTCTCCTTAGCACCTTCTGGAAAAAGATCAAAAGACATGACCCATAAGATGTCATTCAGGTGAGAGCTTCCACCTGGGGTTACCAGAACTTCTTCTAGGCAATTCTACCAAGTTAAGTCCAAGGCAGTGAAAGAGCAGGCTGATGTTGTAGGAGCAGAGGGTAGGCAGGGCTCTCGTTCAAACCTGCACCCTTTCCACACGGCCTGGCCTGAGAACAAGCCCTTCGCAGGTCAGTGACTCTGGGCTCTTGTTGACAAATGCAAACAGGTAATGGTGTCCAAATATGGCCCAGCTAGGGGCCTTTCTAGGCACAGACAGAAGAAACAGACACAGGCAAGGACAGAGGCTGTAGGAGCGGGGCGAGCAGTGTCCTGTACAACTCAGTGGAGGCATCTAAGAATTGTAACTGGTGCAGTTTCACCAGTAAATATATGGAAATTATATTTTTTCATACCATTTTATTTCCTACATGAGGGAGGAACTTTCAGAAGAATGGAGAGTTGCCTTCTCTGTAGGCAGAGAGGGGAAGGCAGAAGGAGGATGGAATTCCTGAGTGACATGAACCCTGTGTTTCTAAGATAAGGATTAACCAAAAGGGGAAGAAACTTGGTTGGCCCAGGCTAGCAGCCATTGCCCCAGTTCTTTAACCTGCCTAGAGGGAGCCTGTTAGGATCGGCACCATCTTCTAGGCCAGAACTGCCCAGACCCCATAAACAAAACCCTCCTGTAGCCCTTTCTCCACCCTCCCACTCTCACTCCACTCTGCTTCCACTGGGGCTCTGAAATACCTCAATGGGGAGGCAGGAGAGAAAATTACAAAACCATGGCAAGAGGATAGGAGTCAAGAACATTGGGGAACTCCGTAGTTATATAATGACTGAAAGTGGGCTGGACAGTAGGAATGGGAGCTGATGGCCAAGGTCTTTGCTACTAAAAGAGAGGCAGTTCTCAGAAGTTACCTGGCAGCAAATCAGCAAACACAACCTTCTCCCCACCCACTTTCCTCACTTCACCTGCTATTCGGCCTTATCAATCTCTGGTCCCTTGACCCCTCTCTGTCACCCCGGCCTTGTCTCCCTCTGTTTATAAGGACCTTCTCTCTCTCCTGTGTCCCCAACCTTCACCGCATACAATGAATCAACTTGAGTGTTATCTTTTCCTTCAAGTCTTTCCTGATCCCTCCCTACTTCCAAGTAGAATTGATCACTTTCTCTTTTCTTCCCCCACTATATAAACTTCCACCATAGACACTGTAAAACAACCACACTTCCTTTTTTTATGCTTATCTCCCCCTCAAAACTGAAATAAATTAGGGCAAGGCTGTGTCTAAATTATCTATCTAACTAGCTCATAGAAGGTACTCAAAAAATGTGGAACCCATGAATGGTCAAATGCATGAGCTAACAAATGAATGTGTGAATGGTTTTATTCTAACCAAGCCAACACTGTACCTCATCTTTCTTGTCTGTCCCAGCCTGAGCCTTCTAAGCTGATCTGGACCAAGCCATGTACACAAACAGCAGCCCTGAGTGCTGAGCGCCTTTGTCTCCTGGACCTAGTCCTCTGTCCCTCCTCCTCCTCCTGGGCTCATGTCCTCCCATGGTTCTGCAACTTCAATCCAGTTTCTCGCTATAGTCCACTCTTTTGGATGACCCATTAGGACATGTTTCTCAAGCCTAACCCTCTCAGATGACTTTGATACTTGCCTTCTAGCTCTATGATCATAACTGGGATAAGAGGGGCACCCACTTTCTGTCCATGTGTGCTTTCCTTCCCTGGTGGATGGGTATCCTCAACCCAACAGTGCCCTTCATCCATGCCCTTCACCCATACCTACCTAACTGTCAACCTCATCTATAGCCTCAGCCCCTGGTCTGTGTCTTGGGTTAGGAGAGTGGCACTCCAACCTCTCACTATCCAGAAAATGAGGCCACGCCAAGTGCACCCATCAGGATCTCAGAGCTCCCACACTATCAATTGTTTAGGGGAGGAACAGTAAATGAAAGGGGGGCTAGTGGAGGCACAGTGGGCCTTAGACTCCAAAATGAGGTCCCCAGTCCCTTGGTGACAAGGGACAGAGACCATTGGAGAGTTTGGGTGGCCAAGAGAAGGTGCAACAGGTCAGGGCTCCAGAAATAAGCACTTATTAGGCTCCATTAGGAAAGTATCAAAGACCAGCTCTGAGAGCCTAGACTCCTCCTCTGTTAACATCTCCAAAGAGTTAAGGCTGGAACTACACAGAGCTCTCAATTGGTCTTCAGTGAATTGAGGACCAGGCTGGGAAGAGCCCCAAAAAGGAGGGGCAGATAGGAGCTTGTCTTCTAAGATCCCCTAACAACAATCACTGACTTTCTCTCTTGGGTGAGACACTTAGAGCTCTGGGAGTAGGGGACAGATGTGAGGGTGGGTGGAGTGCAGCAGAGGCTGAAAACTGAAGGCTTTGTCCAAGGATGGTGTCCCCAGGAAGCAGGGATGGGAGAGGGGATCCAGAGAGTGGGTAATTTGGAACAAGACTCATCTTGGAAGCCATGGTCCACATCCAAACCCCTGTGAATGTGGAGACAAAGGGCTGAAAAGCTTGCAGAGGATGGAGGAGAGGAAGAGGTGCTTCTATAGGGAGGTCCTGAGCGTGTTTGGACATTCCATCTCTCATTCCATTTCTCACCATCCCTCAGCTTCCAACTACTCATTGTCTCTTGATCCTCCAGTGTCTCTTCCAGGATGTTCACTTCCCCAGCTTTCTAACCACAACCCCTGGCTAGCCCACTCTACTCCTGTCTGCCCGTCCAGTATACATCATCCCAAGGTCTGGCTCAAGCCCCTCTTGACATTAGACAATGATCTTGCCCTCCTCTAAACCTACTGCCAATATATTCATTCTACACTTGCATGTCATTTATCTTTTTTTAAGAGCCCACACTTGGGTGTGGTCCCCTCCCACACTAAATCGGGGCTGGCCCTGTGGCTTGCCGTAACCAACAGAATGCAGAGAAAGTGCCACTGAATCAGCCTCACCCTGAAGACTTGAAAAAGCCTAGCAGCATCTGCTTTTATAAGTTGGGGAGCCCAGAGCCAACATGTATAAATTCTGGCGACCCTGATGGAAACACATATGGCCTACAACCACATGGAGAGAGACAGAGAGTAGGTATGCATGCCCTGAGGGATGCTGAAGACAGAAGTCAAGCCAGGTGCTCTATGCATCCCTATAAGATAGTAGTCCCTAGAGTCATGCAGACTCTGGCCCATAACCCCAAAAGAGGCCATGGCTCCTTAGAGGTGCCCATGCATTCAGAACAGGGATATATGTACTCGTGAGGGCCAAAAGCACTCTACTACATGGAATGGCCAGGAGCTGACCCCCTGCCCATTCACGGTGGGGGCTTGTTTTTTCTGGGTGGCATGCTCTGTATAAGTATCGGTGTGTGTTTTTGCATGTGTGTCCTATGTATGTATATCCTTCAGGGAAGTTTTGTTTATGCATGGGACATATGAAATTGGTCATGACTTTTATAGCCAGGAAACCTCCCAAAGGCAGGATTGTGAGTTGCAAAAAAAAAAAAAAGAGGGAGGGGGAATAGATTTCTTTTGAAAAAGTCCTCCCTCCCCCATTGCAAGTGTGGAGTGGGTTAGTAAGCAGCCTCTCTATACTTACTACAGAGACAAGTATTCAGAATCGGAGGAAACTCCTTTGATGAAGGCACAAATGGGAAGAGAAAGGAAGACATTGTGGAGACAGGTTGACAACACCACGATGAGACACATCGAACACAAACAGTTGGGGGACATCCACTTGGGACTCTGGCCTCAAGCAGATGGGTTTCCTCTGGCAACCCTGGGCCTGCACTTGGGCAGCCATTGGCCTCTAGAGGGTGCTAAGGGGTTGGGGCATTCTAGCAGCGTCCACAATGTGGACATTCTACCCAGGAGGGAGCAGATTCCAGCAGGCCACCAAGCTGCCACTCCCTGCATGGTGGTCCAGCCCTCTGTGGTGAGGACTCTGGGGGTTCAGGGAAGAGTGTTCATGCCCAGGTGTGATTCCGGGAGCTCATTAAAGACACTTTTATAACCTAGGTGGTGTGGACTGTAACACTATTACTATCTGTCATATATATTATTAATCATAACCACAATTAAATCATAACCACAATTATTATCTGTCATATATATTATTAATCATAACCACTTTTACTCTTTCAAAGTATTTTTCATCTACAACTTCCCTTACACATATAAGAACCTTAAAAAAGGAGAAAATAGTAGCCCCATTTGACAGACAAGGAGACTGAGGCACAGAGATGACCTGATTTTCTAAAATTAGTAGTTGAATTATTGTTAGTTAGCATTGGAGTTGGGCCTAGAACTCACTTCTCTAAACTAGTAGCTAGTGAAGTGGTTCTCGACCTGGGCTACACATTAGATTCACTGGGGGGATCTTAAAACCCCAGGCTTCCCTCCTTCTCACCCCCAAACTATTTAACTCAGGACCTAGGGGTGGGACCCAGCAGGCATCAGGAATGTTAAAGTTCCCCAGAACCCCCATGATTCCCAAGTGCAGTCAAGGTGGAAAATGACCTCATCAGCCTCACCTGGGAGCTCCTTGAAAATGCAGTCTCAGGGCCCACCCCAGCTTTGCTGCACCAGGATCTTCATTTTAACAAGCTCCCTAGATGGTTCCTGGGCACATGAAGGTCTGAGCCCTGGGCTGGTGGACCTAGAAAGGCCCATCCGCCAACCCAGTCTGAGTTAGAAGTGAGAAGGCTCTGAGTCGGTCGTGAACTTATTCATCATTGCTTAAACTGGAAGCTGTATGGTCACAGCTTGTGAATGGAACAAGCTTCAGTGAGTAACCCCTATTTCAGATTCCCTAGAAATGGCAGAGGGGAAAGCTTTTCGGGTAGGGGGGGGCAACACCCATTGAAAGGCAGGTGCCTGTAGTGTGCACGCCAGCCCCGCCTTCCACACAGATCCCTTTCTCCGCCTGTGGATGCCCCTTCCTCCCTCCTGGCTGCTCAGCTGACTCACCGTCTAAAGACTTGGAGGGAGAGACCACGGGGCTCTTTGTCTCTGACTTCACTGGACTCTGTGCTGGAGAAGCAGGTGCAGACTTTACAGGTGAGCCAGGCTCCTCTGCAGCGGTTTCTTTCTCTCCTGAAAATACAGAAAACCACCTCAGGATAGGGGTCAAGCAGAGGAGAAATGGAGAGATGGAGAGATAGAGAGATAGTGAGAGAGAGAGAGAGAGAGAGAATATTAAAAAATATTTGTTTTCTTCTACTTGGTCCTCATTTTTCTCGGCTGGAGTTAGCTGCTCTCCTAACCGTTTGTTATTTCTGCTACATCCTGGGGGAGTCAGAGTCGTGTTCTGCTTCCTCCATCAAAGCACATCCACCTATTGAATATGTTGCCCCTGGCGTTGACAGCGAGCTGCAGGAGAGTTCCCACCATGATTGGGTGGCATGTAGCTCATTTTTATTTATTGAATTTACAAGTTCAGTGCCAACAATGCCTAGGGATAGAAAGAACCATATTTTTCCACCTACTTTTTCAGTTGGCACATTAGAACTCTGAGCAAGCCAGCGAGGTCCTTCTGGTGCCTGCTTGGCACCTGGAAAGATGTCTGACGCTGGGTGGGGAGGGAGACGGTGGAGGAAGACCCTGCCCTGAGGGAATGAAAGCTTAGCTGGTGGACAAAACCAAGACTTGAGTTCTGGGTCTCAGACCCCAAGTGCCCCTGAAGCAAAGAGAAGGGACAGCTCAGTGTGGGGGGTGGGGAGAGGCAGAGCGGGCTTCCTAGCAGGAAAGACTTTGAGATGGAGCCTGAAGTATAGATAACTTCGGATCAGGCTGGCCTGGAAGGGAAACCATGCCAGGAAGGGACAAGGGCATGAACAAGGGCATACAAACTATCATGAGAATGAATATCTACCTGGGAGTCAACAGAGAGAGTTGGGCTTAACTAAAGATTCTGAAATAAAGGACTGAGAGAAAGACATAAAGAAGTCAGCGAGTGGAGAGTTTTGATTGCCTAAAACAGGGGTCCTCAAACTTTTTAAACAGGGTCCAGTTCACTGTCCCTCAGACCATTGGAGGGCCTGAACAAGGGCATACAAACTATCATGAGAATGAATATCTATCTGAGAATCAACAGAGAGAGTTGGGCTTAACTAAAGATTCTGAAAAATACAATATTTGTATTTGCATGTGGCCCGCGGGCTGTAGTTTGAGGACCCTTGGCCTAAAACGTTTATGCCAGATCTGAAAGAGAATTAACTATTGCCACTGTTATAATGATCTATTATAGCCAACATTTATCTGGTGGTTACAGACCTACGCCATATCCACAGGCACTATTCTAAGCATTCTGCAAGGATTAACTCTCTCCACCCAGCTGAGAGGGTCGGATGAAATCCTGAAGACACCGTGTAACTGTTAGGCATTGAACAATGAGGGTCATTATTGTGATTAATAGTAACGCTAATAAGAATATTATTTGGTGATTGGGAAGGCAGATCAAGTTGAGGATATGATGAGAAGAGAGAGAAACAAGTGAGGATTAAAATGAAACCAGAGGCTAGATTGAGCCCGGGGCCCTGCGGGCGGTAGGGGGAGGCCTGGGTTCCAGGGCTGCCCGTTGCTCTGCTCCCTCTCAGGGCTTCCCCAACCTCTCCCTTCCCCTGGAAGAGCCTGAAGCACTGGATTCTTTACCTTCCAGTTCTAGTTTCTTCCTCTCCACCTCTTTCTTGTATTCCTCCAGCTCCTGGTCAGTGAGTTGGCTGAAGGGGTTGGGCACCGTCTCTTCTGACTCATCTTTGGTGTCCGCGTCGCCCTTGGCCATCAGCTGGCTGTCTGTAGACTGAAAGTTAACCACAGAGTGTGTGTTGCTCTCTGAACTCCGGGGCCGGGGCCGGCCCGAGCTTCCTTTCAGACTCATGTGGCTGCCAGTGGCCTGGCTGGGACAGCGTGGCATGCAGCTCCTCGGAACAGCACAGGGCCTCAGGGTAGGACTTGTGCACTCCTCCCTACAGCTACCTCACCCCCAGACCCGGATTCTTTGCCACTGCCTAGATGAATGCAGGGGATCCACCCTCTTCCCAGGAAATAAAATCAAAGGATGCTCCCAAGCAGAAGGAAGACACACCTTTATTGCAATCGTGCTGTGGACGCTTGCAAGCCATCCCTATGCAAGTACAGTCAGCGGCCCAAAGTCAGTCAGCCAAATCCAGCAAGCAAAGCTTGGCTCAACCCGCTTCATGCCAGCTGTTCCCACCATGCCCCCCACCCCCACAACCCCCACAAAGCAGCACAAGCTGCAGCACACAGCAGTGAAACACACAGCAGCTTCAGCGTTCTCGGTCCAAAGGGTTGGTCCTGTTTTGCACAGTCATAAATGACAAGGGGACCAAGGTCCTGAATCTCGTATCTTCAACGGCCTGTACTGAGGTCCCTGTGGGGACATTGGCAAAAGCACCGTTTCACCACCTCTGGGGAGCCCCTTGCTCTGGGGCGCTCACCAGCTGGGTAAGCTTGTGTAAGCTTCAGGGACCCTTTGACCCCCCAATAGCTCAGGACAGGTACTGAAGTTCAGGCTCCACACTCCTTTTTCCTAAGCCTGCACCCTCACCTTGGCCTTCGTGACTGCAGTGCTGTGACGCTGAGGAGGAGCCAAAGCAAGGAAAGCCCAGGGGAGGGGAGCCCTGAGCAGCTGGCCATCCTTCTCATGAGCTCCTTCCAACGGAGGGCAGCCCTGGTCAATCTTATGGAATCATGGGGCTCACAAGAGAGGCCAAGACAGGATTCCAAGAAGAGCGACTCCAAGGAGACCACTTGGTATAAATGGCAGAGTTTTTAACAATTTTGCTCATTGTCTTGAACACTCACCTCCCCCCAGTGTCATGCAATATTTCCATCCTCGACCCTGTGGCACATTTGGTGTTCCTCATCTTGGCTGAGTGCGGGGCGGGGGGGAAGTGGGGGTGGAGATGATATGATGACACCACCTTATGGGCTGCAGCCTGACCAGAAATCACTGCCTCACCTCTTCGCTCAGCAGAGAGGAATGACTCCTGTATTTCTCCCTTTCTTCCTGCCAAGGAAGATGCCATGCCCACCGCTAGTTTGCAATGAGCAGCAATTATTTCCAACATGAGCCAGAATTCTGACCTTGACCCCCTTTGCTAAGCACCAGACAAACACTGTTCTATCTCAAGCACAGAAACGATGACTTTATACTTTCTCACTCTATGTGGGTTTGTGTGCAACTACTTGCCCCCTCCCTTCTGTAGGAGCACTGGTCCTTATATACACGCCTCCCCTCTGAGAGCATCTGAGCATCGTCCCAAAGCTACAACCTCACGATGCCGTATCCATGCAGAGGCCAGAAAAACTCAGGGCAGGCAGGCCTGGGAGCTGCCAGCCACATTTCTGTGACCCCCACTTTGCAAGATGCTAATAGAGGGCAGAGTGAGTTCCATGGGGGAAGCATGGACGTCAGCAGGCTGGGCAGTTGCTGCCCCACCCAAGGCCCACAGGGTGGGGCAGACACTGTCCCTGGTCCTCACAGCATCTGTTTTGCAGCAAGAGCACCAGCACCCAAGATCACAGGGGAGTGGGCATGAGGACTCAGGGGTCCTGCTGCCCAGCCCCAGGCACTGCAGACTCGGAAGGCAAACGCGTCTCCCCTCCAGACAGGGGCCGCCTCTGCTGTACCGGGCTTCTGCTCTTCTCAGCGATGACGCTCGCCAGGAGCTGGGACTGGGGCCCCGCCGACTTCACATCCTGTCGGTTTTGTTCGCGAATCTGTGTGGAAAGGGAGGGGGAGAGCAGCTCAGTGTGCAGTGTCGGGCTGGGGACTTCGGGAGGGGCATCCCCAGGGCATACTGGTGTCCAGTGTGGGCTGTGACTTGGGTCTGAACAGGCCCTCTAGCGGTGGGGAGCCTGTCTCCCCTATTTCCAACGCCGCCTGTCCACTCTGACACGGTCTCCTTGTCTGTTTCAGAGTGCATGAGCGGGTTAGGTACAACACCCGTCTCATTGACTCGGAGGAGGTACCTGAAGGAGGTGAAGAGTGAAAGGAGCCGTCTTCAACCGTGGAGGGAGAGTCTCACATTTTAATATTCCTATGAAGCCCCTTAGGGGTTTGTTTAAAATGCTGGGGCCAGCCCACACCTACACAATCTGAATCTCTTGGAGGGAGGCGACCCAGGAATCTGCATTTTAAACAAGCACTGAGAGGCCTTGCCCACACACTGAAACCCAGATCTGGGAGTGTATCTGACCTACTGGAGGCAGTCAGCCATAACTGCAGTTCTTCTTTAAAAAAAAAAAAAAAATTTATTGATTTTTACAGAAAGGAAGGGAGAGGGATAGAGAGTTAGAAACATTGATGAGAGAGAAACATCGATCAGCTGCCTCCTGCACACTCCCTACTAGGGATGTGCCCACAACCAAGGTACATGCCCTTGACCGGAATCGAACCTGGGACCCTTGAGTCCGCAGGCTGATGCTCTATCCACTGAGCAAAACCGGTTAGGGCCATAACTGCAGTTCTTAACGTGACATTAGAAATGTAAGTGAACTGTAAAGCAGAGGTGGGGCAGTAAATACCAAGGATTTTGAAATCTTGGCCAAAAGGATAACAGCATAAATAGCGTAAACTTAATTAAAACTCAATTTGTGGGCAGATCTCTTAGACACATCTAATGCCTGAGGCAAGCACCTCTCCTGGAGGAGGGTCCGACAGGGCCACCTAAGTACAGCACTCGGCACAGTGCCTGGGACAGAGCCAACAAACAGCAGTTTCTTTCCTGTGAGAGGCAGCAGGGGTGTTGGTAAGTCAGGTGCATCCTCACCCCACCCCCATTCTCGAGGGAGAAGGGATGGAGAGACAGCTAGCTAGCACCCTACCTTGTTCCGCATGTCCAGCACTTCTTGGGGGTCGGTATAGAGAGGCACAAATTGGTTTGGGTTTTCGATCCGTATTGGCATGCCACTGCTGGATTTCTCCACCTCGTCAGCCTTCATCCACTGAACACACACAAGGCCAGGCGGGTGAGCAAAGAATAAGGCCCACATGTCCTCCCCAGTGGTCGGCCCCATGGGATCTGGGCCCACCGGCCCACACGGAAGGTCAGCAAGCCTCTACATACATGTTATCTCCCCTCTGTGACGTCTGTCTCCCAGAGCAGGAGGGCAAAGAAGGCCCCAGGGCAGGAGCCGTAAAGAACACGTAAGAGTAGGGGTCAGCCCCTTGGTAACCAGCGCTGACAGACAGGTGGCCACTGGAGCTTAAGTATTAGATGGCTCCATGTTAATTTGCAGGGCTTCTTCTTCTTTTTTTAAAATGAAAAGCTATTCTATTTGGCTGCCAGCTACTTTAATGTTAATGAAAAATCAAATTAAGAGTTAGGATGTGTGTGTGGCGGGGAGGACAACGTAATAGAAATCCCACCCACCTACTGGGTCTGCATCAGATGTGCACTTCAAATGTTGGATACCCATCCTGGAACTTCCCAGGATTCCCTTCTTGATGTGGGAGCAAGAAGCAAAAATCAATTGCTCCTCACTTTTGTGCTGCTGGGGGTGACCTGGTCCAGCCATCCTCTGGACCCCAAAACTCAGTGCAGAGGTACAAGAAACAGGTGACCAGAGGCTCTGTGGGCACGAACAACTGCTCCATATAGTAAACCCTGAGGGGGGCTTATAGACCATAAACGTAGCCAGGCACTCTCCCCGCACCCGTCTCCCCCAGCAGGGCCTCCCTCTGCCCGCCTTACTGTGGTCTTGGGCCGGGGGCTGCCCATGCTCCTCTGGACCTCGTCAGCCACGTTGACCCGCAGGTAGGTGTTGGGCGTGTTGAGCCAGCGGGTCTTCTCCTTTTGCTGCTTCTGGGCGTGCTGCCGCAGGGCGGGCACCGGGGTGCCGTCCTCCTCGAACACGAAGGCTGTGACTGTGGCCGGAATCTCCACCTCACTTTTGTGTTTGGTTTTCTCTTGAACAAAGGGGTGGCGGTATGTGTAGCCTGTTCTGTAGCCCTAAAAAGGACAAAAAGAGAACCACTTCACATGGGGAAACGGTGTGTATGCACCTGCGCGCCCACCCCCTCCCCAGGCACTTCACCCCCTTCTATCTAATGACCGGGTTTAAACCTAAATCTCCACAGCACAGCCTGGACCTTCTGCTTCTCTGGTGGGTCTCGGAATTGGTCCTCTCTTGGTGCCCCAACCACTCCCTTCCTCCACCCCAGCGAGTCCTCTGATCAGGGCTGAGAAAACTGCTGGAACCTTCTGAGCGTGACAGGACTCCTTACCTAAACACAGCTCCAACCCTGCGCTGCCGCAGTGGGTCCCAAGCCTGGCTGCACATTGGAACCACGTGGGAGCTTTAAAAATGCTGATGCGGGACCCACCTCAGCCCTGCCCGTTTCGTTGGATGTGGTACCATCTGGGCTACAGGACTTTTAAGTTTCCCAGCGGATTCTGACAGTCAGCCCTCCCTTCCTCAACGCTAAGGCTCCTTAACTATTTCCCTCTTCGAACCCCGAACTCTGACTACAGAACATTCCTGTCTCCTAAGCAAGACCAGGTCCCACGAAGGCGGAACCGAGTGCCGCTCAGTGACAACGAACACCCGGGAATCTTGGCGGCTGACGGAGCAATTCTTAGCTCTGCCTGTCTTCTCTAACTCTGTTTTGCTCTTTTTTGGATTACTAGTAAAACGGGATGTTTTAAATTACATTGAATGGCCACTCGAATCCCTTCCTTTGTAAATTGTTTGTGTTCTCGGCTCATTTTTCTGCTGAGATGTTTTTCTTTTTCACACTTATTTGTACTAACTCTTTACAGTGCATTGACTATCATCGGTGTTGCAAAGATTCATCCCCGTAGTTTGTCTTGTCGCTCTGCTTATGGTGGGGGGAGTGGTTTAGAAAAATGCAAATTTTGAATTGTAATGTAATCATAACAGTCAGTACTTGTCATCATGACCTCAGACTTTCCTGCCACGCTTGACAAAGTCTGCCCAGGACAAGAGCATCAAGAATGTTAATCTGTTTTTTAATACCTGTGGGAGTTTTTTATGTTTTAATTTTTGATAAATCAGGGATTTGTCTTGCTGAAAGGAATGTGGTAGTAAGCCACATAAGTTTTCTTCTCCAAGTGGCTAGCAGTCTAGGTTTTCCCGGTGCTTTATAAGACACCTGTTTGCCCTGTTAAACGCTTCTGGATTCTCGAAGCTGCCGCACTGACTTGCCTGGCCGTTCTGCACTACCGCTCCTCCGTTTAGTTACGCTTTACCATGTGGTGGGACGAGTATCCCTAATTTCTTTTTTTATAGGATTTTTCTAGGCATTCTGAATTTCACCTGGAAGACCATTTCGCTAAATCCTCACACATTCCCTGTTTTTAAAGGAATTGCACTGAGTTTATTGGTTAATTCGGAAAAGTGGCCTCTTTTCCCTATGGAAGCTTTCTAACCAAAAATAAATGATAGCTCTTCACGGGTCCTGGGGCTAAGCCTCAACAGGCTGGCCTCGGAGGACCATGGCAGGAGACTCACCAGGTTGTCCAGCATCCTCATGAGGGCCTCGAACTCGTGTTCCCCCAGCCGGCTCTTCTGCATGGGCCCGAAGGTGCTCCCCGCCCACTGCACAGAGCCCCACCTCATGGGGGCGGTGTTTCTCCTGCTCCAGGAGGATGAGGTTCTCCACTCCCCCGGCGCTGGACAGAGCGGACACCTGAGGCAAAGAGCAGTGTGTGTGCGCACGCACATGTGTATACACACGTACACACACGCACACACACACACACACACGCCCCTCTGCACACTTACCTAAGCTCATGTGTGTAACGGAGAGTGGGGATAAGGGAAGATTGGGAACAGAAATGGGCTGAGAAGCTGAGCTGTATTTGGCTTTTTCCTCCGAGAGGAAAAGCCACCCCAAATTTGTTGAGCATGCACCCATTCCAGGGAAAGAGCTATTAGAAGTTCCTTGCTTAATGCCACTTCTTAGAGATTATAGAGGACATAGCAAGTGTTAAACCTTAAGTATAAAACAGTATAGAAAACTGAGAGTGACCTGGGTTACAGACCAACTTCAGACTGTGGTTGTTTCTGGGGAAAGTGGGAGCATGGGATTAAAAAGGGCTCTAACGATGACGTAAAGTCTTGTCTGTAATATTTTATTTCTTTAAGAGGAAAAGATCTGAAGCAAAAAGGCTGTTAGTATTTGTTAAATCTGAGTGGTGGGTATCAGGTATATGCTATTATATTATTCTCTGCATTTTTCTCTGTGTTTGAAATATCTCCCATTTTTAAAAAAAAGTCACTTGAGAGAAAAAGGCTGGCTTCCAGGCCATGAAATATGAGTGCAGCTCAAGGGACTGAATTAACAGGTCAAAGGAAGAATTGTGTTGTCCACGATGGGATCAGCCAGTCAAGGAAACCCAGAGGAGACGAGGGAATGCTGATGGCGCACGGCAGCTCTCACCGGCAGACTCAGGGTGTTTGTCCCACTGTCAGGCTCCATGGGGAGGGGATGATACAGGTGGTCACAGACTTTGAGTATCAGGGCAAGAGGTGTGTGTATACAGCAGGCGATTTTAGAATGATCCTAAACACATTCATCGATCTAACTAATTCCCTTATTTCTAAGTCCATGCTCGTCTAATAGTACATTCTGTTTACTCCTCATAGCTGCCACTCGGATATAATTGGTTATGATTTGGCTTCCTGGGCAAGTTCAGCTACAGAAAGTAGCTGAGCCAGGATTTTGTGCTGTGTATCAATACACTAGCATTCTAATTGATATTTGATATCCCGTGTAAGCCTGCTTATTACAGAGGAGCAGCTCCTACTTATAAGCCTTCAGAGTTTCAGTTTTGGTGACAGTTGTATTTTTTTACTGAAAATGAAAGGAAACAGCTTGCTGATGAACACAGGTCTATGAGCCCATGAGGACCCAGACGTGTCCTGGAGTGTGAAAGTCACCAGTGTAACAAATGAGACTTCTTGGAAGTCAACCAGGCCACCTTCCCAAGGAGATGCCATCACCCTGTAAAGAGGAGGAAGCTAGAACCCTAACTTTCCACGCCCTTTATATCCAAGACGTGCCCAGTGGACGGCTCTATTTTTAACCCTGGGAAGACAGAGACCTTAGAGGCCATCTATTCCATCCTCCCTCCAACAGTAAGAGTCACGGTCTGATTTCCCGAGAAGGTGGCCAGCTCCATGCTTGGGAGGCACCCATTATATAGCTGTCCAAGTGTTAGAGAGTCGCAGTGAGTTGACATAGGTGACAGTGAGCTGAAATCTACTAGTCCCAGTTCCGCCCTCTGCTGCCATGTTTGCTAACTCTGAAGTCCCTCACGCCCAGCACGCAGGCTCAGCACATGGAACGAGCCCTCACAGGTAGTGCATTCCACCCGGCTGATCAAGTTACCTAGTTCCCTGAAGAGAGGTCCTGTCAGCCGATCTTTCCCACCAACCCTTACTGCCCCGAGAGAGTACAAGGCGGCATCGTATTTAAGAACACAGACTCAGGCCCCAGGCTGCCTGGGTTTGAATCCGGGCTCTGCCACTTACTTACTGTGTAACTTTGGGCAGTGATTTGCCCTCTCTGTGCCTCAGCTTTTATCTATAAAATGAAAATAGTACTACCTATCTCATGAGGTTTATTGAATAGCACCTGGTAAGATGGAATGCAATGTAAGAATTTATGACAAATAAAGTATGAGGTTTTAACATGGAAGGTTGAGAAGCAATATCCCCCGGGTACTTGTCATTCACGGAGGAAAAGAGAACTGCCCACATCCTTGCAAGAGCTGCCTCCTCCCACCTCTCTCATCCTCCATTGGTTTCCATGGCGATGGGTAGCAGATGGAGAACTGCCCGAGCTTCTCCCCATCTGCCTGTGAGCAGAGCAGGGAGCTGCCTCTCTCAGCTGGGGATGACCCAGTTTCCTGGAACCTCAAACTACTGGGGAGCAAAGAAAATACTGTCCCAATAGAACAAAATGGGCTCCGAGTCTCGAACCATAAAATGGCCACAATCACAGTTTGCTTGTTTGCCAAAGTCACTGAGGGAGAAAACTAGACCCACAAAGGAGAGAAAATTTCAATGCTGGCTGTTCAACCAGCAATGACCCGGCCAGATGCTGGGATCCCAACAGCATCTGCACATTGCCAGTACCTGGGATCGTCCATGCCTTACACCTCGGGGCTAACCTTGCTGGGCTCCCATCCACCCCTCCCAGCTTCATTCCTCCCTCTAGAAGCCTCCCTGCCCCCCTCCCAGTTAAAAGAAGCCACTGGAGCTTTTCCAAGGTTATCTGCCTTTATCTCCTGATGCGCGTAAACAAGGTCACATCACACCAGTCTTGACTGAAAAGAAAGTGACAGCTGGCAGAGCCAAGAGAAGCAGCTAGTGAGCTGCCAACAGTGCCATCCTGCCTTTGGCTAAATTGCACAGTGCCCATTTCTGAGGGTCTGGAGCCTGGAAGAGACACCCTTCACCCTTGGGGGGCGGGTAGTTAACATGAACATCTCCCTCCATTCATTCTTAGGGCTGTGCTATCTTTGCAAAGAGATAAGAACTGTTTCTCACGGCAGCCTCTTCTTCAGAAGGAAGGCAGGAAACTCTTAATGAGCTCGGGTGTAGGGTAGGGAAAGTGGGCATATCAGAGGCTCTGCCAGTTTCCTGCACCAGTCAGGGTCAGAGCTCAGGGCCAGTGTCACCGGTTAGGGGGCAGGGGGGCCACCACATCAGAAAGCACTGCTTTGGCCCTATTCCACCTTCTCCTGTTCTGACCACTGTTGGGTTTTATTTTATTCTTTTTTTTGGTGGTGGTGGTGGGGGGTTAATCTCATACCACCTCCTCTAACACCTCTTCATCACTGTCTTAACAACTATCCTCTCAACATATTCCTTTAAAAACCACAGAGAAGAGGAGAGGCGAGGGGAGGGGAGGGGAGGGGAGGGAAGGGAAGGGAAGGGAAGGGAAGGGAAGGGAAGGGAAGGGAAGGGAAGGGAAGAGAAGAGAAGAGAAGAGAAGAGAAGAGAAGAGAAGAGAAGAGAAGAGAAGAGAAGAGAAGAGAAGAGAAGAGAAGAGAAGAGGAGAGGAGAGAAGAGAAGAGAAGAGAAAAAGAAGAGAAAAGAGAAAAGAAAACCTACATGTGTGGTGTCTACTGGGCATAGCCAGATGTAACAGGTATACCCCAGGCAATATATGAGCATGGTAAGAACTTTTATCGTCCTACTATGGTTTCTCCTGCTGTCCCAGTGATAAGCCCAGGCAGCTCCCCATTCTGGACAATGACCCCCAAGAGTTGGGTGTTGGTTGTTAGACAACGGTGATACATCCTTTAAAGCTACAAAATTGCTTCTAAGTGTGAAACTTGAAATGAATAAGGTGGTGCCAAAGCAAAGAAATAGGGCCAGGCTTTTAGATGGCGAGGCTCACAGACCTCCCTGAATCACAGCTAATGGCGGGGGTGAGGGTGGCCTTTGCCCACCGGCCACTGTCAGAGCCGCTCCCCAGAGCCCCCAGAGGACCTGCTCACCTGTATCTCACATGCCGCCTGCAGGTGGAAGATCTTGTAAAACGCCTCCTCCACAGTGTCACCGAGGGCAACCACGCCATGGTTTCTTAGCACCAGGATCTGTAGAGGAGCAAATGGCCAATTAAAACTTTAAGCCTTCTAGTTAAGAGGGAGGGAGTTTCATTTTATTCAGATCAAGTTCCATATCCAATCCCGGAGCACACACCCCTGCAATTCCTTGTTCCTTCTCCCTACACAAACATCCAAATGTAACATCACGTGTGATTTGAACCCTAAACAATCACCCTGAGAAATAGATGTTTTTTAATACTGAGACTAAGTAATTTGGTCAATTTCTTTGGGCAAAATCTTTGGGGTTTTCGGCCTTGGAGAGCTTAGAAGTCTAAGAACTAGTATTTGTGTTAAAGTAAATGGAATTATTTGGTGTCCAGTATGAGGATTCAACCTTCTTGCCCTGTGAGTTAGTCAACCTGGGAATCAAAACCCGAGGGGGTGGCTCTCTAAGAGGCAGCTCTGCAGAAACAGGTGGGGACCCTGAGTCCCTGATGGCCAGTCACATGACCTCTCTGGACATTGGCTTCCCTCTCCATAACCTCAGTGAGACCTGGGCAGCTCTATGAATGAGGCCCGAGTGATCTTCTAGTCTAACCCACTGGCTTTATGAGAGCGGAAATAGAGGCCTGAAGAAATGGAAAGTTTCCCAGCTAGTTAGGGGCAGAATGGAACTAGAACCCAGGCTGACTCACTGTTGGTGCGATGTTTCTGACTCAGTGGGGACAGGCAGATAAAAGGAGGGGAAAACCCAGAAGTAAATTTATCCCAAGAGCTTGACTCTCCAAGGTCCAGGTGCCAAAAATCCTTCTTGGTTGGCTTTATGCTCGAGAACTCTCTGCAACCAGCCGATGCCCATCTGGGAGCTGGGGCACAGACCCATGTACCGGATCTGTCCCTGCAGACCTGGGCTGAGGCCTGATCATCACATCCTCTCTCGCTGAAAACAGCTGGAAGTTTCCCTCTCAAGTGCCAGAGAAATGGAAAGAGATGATGGCTCTGGCCCACTAAAGATGCTGCAGAGAACAAATGCCCATCATTCCCACTCTTGTAGCAGCTTATGGGGGTGAGCAGCTCATCCCTCTCCGGGCGCTGCTCATGAGGCTTTAGAGCAGCGGTTCTCAACCTGTGGGTCGTGACCCCTTTGGGGGTTGAACGACCCTTTCACAGGGGTCGCCTAAGACCATCGGAAAACACATATATAATTACATATTTTTTTGATTAATCACTATGCTTTAATTATGTTCAATTTGTAACAATGAAAATACATCCTGCATATCAGATATTTACATTATGATTCATAACAGTAGCAAAATTACAGTTATGAAGTAGCAACGAAAATAATTTTATGGTTGGGGGGGTCACCACAACATGAGAAACTGTATTAAAGGGTTGTGGCATTGGGAAGGTTGAGAACCACTGCTTTAGAGCAGTGGTCAGCAAACTAATTAGTCAACAGAGCCAAATATCAACAGTACTTCTTCAAAATAGACTCGCCCAGGCCGAAAACCGACTTCTGCACATGGGCCACGAAGTTTCAATCGCACTATACGTACGCTCGCACGTGGTATTTTGTGGAAGAGCCACACTCAAGGGGCCAAAAAGCCGCATGTGGCTCACAAGCCGCAGTTTGCTGACCACGGCTTTAGAGAATGTCAGGAGAGAGTGGCAGGGCTTTCTCCTCTGTGACAGAGATGGGAGGACGGGGACTCTCAGATGGGAAGTGACGGTGAGTGCCTTTCGAGGATGGGAGCGGGAGTCAGCAACCCAAGTTCAGCTCCTAAGCTTCCTGTGCTAAGCTGACCACCCCCAAATATGTACTGTCATGAAATAGGTCGTTAGACTTTAACCAAACAATAATGAGGTTCTGTTTTTCTCTATCAAGTTAGAAAAAGTGATAATAGTAAAGTCTAGGGAGACCATAGAGAAGCAGCATTCTCATATACTAGACGTTGCAGGGCGAACAGAACAATTTGGCCAACGTGATTTGGAAATTTTAAAAGGTGCATCTGTAGACCTAACCGGTTTGGCTCAGTGGAGAGAACGTCGGCCTGCGGACTCAAGGGTCCCAGGTTCGGTTCCGGTCAAGGGCATGTACCTTGGTTGCGGCCACATCCCCAGTAGGGGGTGTGCAGGAGGCAGCTGATTGATGTTTCTCTCTCATCGATGTTTCTAACTCTCTATCTCTCTCCCTTCCTCTCTGTAAAAAAATCAATAAAATATATATATATATATTTTTAAAAAGGTGCACCTGTAAAATTTACTCTAAGGAAATAATATACAAAGATAGATGGGAAAGGATTTTCATAACAGTGTTGTTTATATCAAGAGAAAATTCAGAGGAAAAAAACCCTTCCAATATTCAATCATAAAGGACTGTTCAGGTAAATGGTGGCACAGTCATTCGCTCAATGAAATATATTCTAATCAGTTAAAATAGTGACGTAGAAAATATTTAATATCATACAAAGGTGTTTACTGTATATTGCTAAGGGGGAAAAAAGGAGGATATATTTTATGATCCTAGTTTTGTAAATATATGTGACCATATTTGGGGAGTGTACCAAAACCTCAGGGTAGTGCAATAGAGAGAATTTTATTTTTTATGTATAATTTTTAAACATCATCCGATGAACACATGTCACTTGTAACATCAGCTTTTGATAATCCCCCCTGAAACATCTTCCCGGAACAGCTGAGCCAAACCTTGCAGGTGGGTCCAAGGCACTTCTGCAGGTTGATCCGATCCGCTTCCTGCTCCATTTCACCATTGAAGTTGTAATAGGCCATGTCCCCCACCAGCAGGGCATTGTGGGAGACAGGCAGGAGGCCCCACTTCATGGCTGACACCTTCAGAGAGAGGACAGAATGGTTAGCGCCTGTAGCTCCCCCAGTGCCTTCCCTCAGAGTGGCACAGTCAACTCTACTCTGGGGATGGGTGCGGGGACCCTTTGACCCTCCACTTGGCTGTGGTCTTGATTTCTGGCTGCTTCCTCTAACATCCTCCCGTCACAGTTTTCACAGCAACCACATCAATATATCACCTTCTAAAACTGCTGCAAAGAATGACTCGAGAGAGCTATACCACTGCCAGCCCCCTGCATGGCTCTTGTCCAAGGACTCTGGGAAGAGGCAGGGGGTGGTGGAGTTGGCAGCAGGCTGGGGCAAAGCAGGGCCCAGGGTCCCCTGGGGTGGGTTGGTGGAGACCCTCAGCCTTGAGGTCAGTGCAGAAACAGCCACAACTCCTCACCCACAGGGAGGCCCATTGTAGAGCCGCATTTTACTAGCAACGAGGCAGTAAGAGTGCCAGGGGAGAGGGTAAAACCTTATTGCAACCCATGCCCCACGCTCTGCCTTTTATTTAAAGCCAGAGGTTTGGAAGAGCCTCTTGGCCTCCTTCACTCATTTTGCCCCAGGAGTAAGCCCAGGCTCGGCACACTTGGCACAAACACATCATCCAGTCTTGGTCCAAATTCTGGAAGGCCTCTGCTCGTAATGAATGGGTTTTGCTGAGAAAACCAAAAACCAAAAACCACAGGCCAGTGACAAGTCTGCTCTGCCCTGTAGGTGTGTGGCCTGTGGGGTGGGCACGATGGGGTAAAGGTTGAGAAACCAAAACTGCTTGCCTGCTGTCTTTCCAAGCGATGTTGCAGCGTCTTAGGCATACGTGGAGAAATTACCCAGAGACCCCAAGGGAACAACCTGCTTCTTGGGGGTGTGTGTGTCTTTATTCTACTCTCTCCCAGTTTTCCTTGCCCCATCCCCAGATCTCAGCCCACCCGGGCTATGAAAAGTGGGCAAGTGCAGGCTCCCAACATCTTATCTTCTATCGCGATCTCTCCTTACCAGAGCCTGGGCTGGGGAAAAGGAGTGGGGGCAGGCGCCAGCCCTCAGTCCAACAGGGTGAATAGAGACGGAAGAGGAGGCATCACCTGGTGCGTGGTGCCAGTTTGCGTAAGTGGCAGGGTGGGGGGTGCAGTGGGGCAGACATCACACATCTTCACCTTCTCTCCCCAGACCAAGACTTCTGTAGTCAGAAAGGTGGAGAGGTCTAGGAACCCCACACTGGGTGGTCCTTCTCCTCACTTTGGTGTGAGTTCCAGGAAATCTTTCCAGATTAAATGATGGGATTGTTACTAGCTTGGGGGTCTTGTGTCTTAACTCAGGGGGCATCTCAGAGAAGCAGGTCCCATGGGTCTGCTGTCGGCCTCAGGGAGGGAAATGCTGGGTGGAGAGCCGACACTCACCGCGGCCGTGGCCGGCGTGTGCAGGTGGATGATGCAGCGCACGTCGGGTCTGGCTGCGTAGATGGCCGAGTGCAGACAGAAGCCCGTGGTGTCCACCGGGAAGCAGCTGCTGCCCTTCTCCACCACCTCTCCCAGGTTGTTCACCTTGATCTGGGCCAGGGAAGGAGAGAGGCTTACGGCTACAGGACAGGCAGAGGCCCCTCACGTCTCTCCCCAGAAGTGAGCCAGCACATGGCTACCCACTGGTGTTCATTCATCCACCACACCTGAGCAACGCTGTGCTTGGTGGTGGGGGGAGACCGCCCCCCCCGCCCCTTCCCTGCCACAGACTCGCCCCTGCATCTGACAGTATACTAGCTAAGGCAACACCTCCTTCTCAGAACACTCCCCAAAGCACCCAACACAAACCCAAATCCTGAAATGAGTCCCCTCCTAACACCCTCTTACTGAGGTCCCCAGGGTGCAATCTCCCTGCAGCTGGTATAGCCCAATTCTCCGACAACAGGTGTGCCCTGGCGTTATTAACAAGCTAGAGTTTAGTTTCTAAAAATCACAACAGCTTTGGCCCTTGAAATTGTACCACCATGACATTCTGAATGCAGCACACTGGGCAGTTCCACAGACTTCCCACCATCCCATTCCAGAAGGCCCAGCAGACAAGGTGGTACCAAAGGAAGGGACAGGCTACTGACATCATTTGTTTAAGCAGAACCATCAGGAAGATGTTCAACAATCCCCTCTTACAAAATTCATGTTCTACGAATGAACATGACTTCAAAGCGGCTGACCGCTGGAAGTAGCAGCAACACTCCCATCTCGGGTACCTCCCTTCAGCCCAGCTCCCCCATTTCCTCAGAGGTGTGGCCTGCTCAGAGTTCCCTCTGATCTCATGTAATCCTTATATCCACCTTGGATGTGTGATCTGTTGTCACTTTAAGAATCTCTATAGCCTTGCCTTGGCCAGGTGGCTCAGTCGATTGCAGCAGCATCCCATACACCAAAAGGTTGTGGGTTTGATTCCCAGTCAGGGCACATACCTAGGTTATGGCTTTGAGCCCTGACTGGGGCATGTATGAGAGACAACTGATCGATGTTTTTCTCTCTCTCTCTCCTTTCCTCTCTCTCTAAACTCAATAAAAACATATCCTCAGGTGAGGATTTAAAAGAAACGAATAATAGCCACTATCCCATATAGTGCCTTTGTCCAAATGAGAACAGCCCCCTCTTGAGGACAGCACCAGGGGCACAGGTCACAGGTCTTGGTGTGTGGATGGCTTCCATTGAGCAAATTTGAAACACAAACCCAGTGGAGCACAGGTTGGTTTTTACTCTCACCAGCCAGGCTCTCTTGTGCAGTGCATGACCTGTACAACCATACACAACAGCACTAAGTCTACACACTCACCCTGAACCTCTCATGCCCATGACTCTCAAAGCTGTATCTCTAGGCCATAGCTCTTCTGAGCTAGGATAACCAAATGCCAACTGACTTCTTTCCTGAACATGCCACCAGCTCAAACTCAACCCCACACCCCCAACCCAGCTGGTTGCCAGGCTCACTAAGGCTGCTGGACCAAAATTTCCTTCCTGGCTGATTGTCACAGCCCTAACTGATTGTTGTGATGACAGTTTGCCTCCATATAGTTGTCAGAGGGCAATTTATACAATGGAAACCTGATTGCATCACTCGTCCGCTGACAATGCTTGAGAGGTTCTGCCTGTCCAGCAGAATAAAGCTGAAGTGCCATAAGAGGCCTGCAGTGCCATTTATCACCTTCCTGCCTTACCTCCAGACTCAGCCACTCACCTGTCCTCCAAGTGCACTGGGATGTGGTATGCATTTGGGCTTGGTGCATGACGCCCTCCTGCTGAGGACATGGTCCCCTCTGCCCAGTCCTTCCCTGCTGCCCTGGTTTTAATCTGCTTATCCATAGTGAGCTCCTGAGGACTCCATTCCCTCATCACCATTTCAACCCAGAAGTTCCTCCTTTGCCACCTCTACCCCTACAGCACCCAGTGAGCCCGGTGCCTCTTCCCGAGGCTCCCCAAGCTTCCTTCGTCCCAGGGTGCTTTTCAGTTGGAGTTTAATCACTGTTTGCCTCCCCTCATCCCCTGACTCCATCATGAATGCCTTAAAGACAGAGCCTGTGCCGTCCTTGTATTCACAGTCCCTGTCTGCTCTCCCATGGCCTCCTTGGGTGGCCTGTGCAAGTCACTTATCCTCACTGGGCACCAAAGTTCTCTTCTGCCTGTAAGGTGGCCTTGGCAGTCCTTGAGGCCCAGCCCTGCCCAGATATTCTGTGACTTTGTTCTCTTTAAACTGAGTACCTGGACTCAACATCTGAGTGTCTCAAGCCTGGCAGCATCTGAGTGGCATGCTCCTCCCCCAGGTGCAACAGCTGGTACATCAGCGGTAGCCCACGTATCTAAGAAACATGGGACCTTTTCTGCTTCTAAGACAGTCCTTTCTACTGCATTCCTTCTCACACCCAGAAATCTTTCTTGATTAAAATCAGCTTCTGGAAGTTTCTCCCTACCCCATGTAAAGGAGCAGAACTGAAAGAGGTCCCTGAAGCTGTCTCTAATGGCACCAGCACTAGCCAGGACCTGCATTGCTTTGGGACAAAGCATTGGCTGCCATTCTAATGTGTCTCCCAGGCAGAAAGGCCTTCCTACTCCCAGCCTTTATGGTACAACCCCAGGCTCAGAGACCAGGCCCATCTCTTCCTCCTATTGCACTTGCTGCCTGCACCTCACATTCGGTCTCGTGGTGGCATCATGCTCTGGGCACTCCATTTGTTCTGGTGCCCATGTGTCTTCTTGTCCCACTAGATTGTAAGCTCAACAAGGGACAGGACAGCAGTGGATAAATTGGAGATGACCTATCACTGTAGGAGCTGTCATTTCAATAGGAATGAGCAGTGAGACGCTGGACTGTACTCACCAGGCTGGATGCTGTGACTTCACTGCAGGAAACTCCCTTCGGGCTAATGAGGAAGTGGTCCTGCTCCTTGCTGACTCTCATCTGGAGGAAAGACACATGTTCTCAGGGGCAAGAAGGGACTGGGTCATTTCCAATGACCTTCTGCTTGAATCCCCTCTTTCCCTGAATCTGCTACACCCAAATCTTCCTCTCAAGAACCTTTATCTCCCCACCCCCGACCTCGAGCCATGAGAGAACTTGGTCTTTATTTGGAACTAAAGAAATGGAGCTATAAGAAGAATCTCTGATGGTCAAGGGTAGCCCTAGAAATAGGATCCAGGAGTCCCCAGCTCCTCATCCAGAGAAATGTCCATTGGCCAGGTTATTTCAGGTGACCACAGTGGTTAGAACCCTTGGAAGGGCTCAGCATTTTGGCCAAAGGCCACCAGCAGTGTCATGTCCATGCCAACAGTCAGGAGTTCTCCCTTTAGATTTTGTGGGGGCCACACACAGTGCCCCACCCCACTCCAAGACCCTCTCCTCACCGTGACGTAAGTGTCACTCAGCTGGGCCCAGCCATAGAGGTCCAGAAGTCGGTAGACACTGCTGATCTTGCACCGCATGAGCCGCTCCCCCTTGGCCAGGTTCAAGGGGTCGGCTGTGTGGAGGTCATTGATGGGCGTCATCAAGGAGAAGTCTGCATGGGGAGAGGGTGAGGACACGGTAGCTCGCAGGGTCAGGGGCTCCCATCTGCCCCTCCTTCTCAGCCCTAGTCCTTTCCAAATCCTCACTGGCACTACAACTGCACAAGATACTTCAACAGGCAGGGAAGTCAACATTCTTTCACCTTTACCCAGGTGAGAAAATCCAAAAATCCTCTGCTTATTTGGGTAAAAATTGTATTGATTTAGGTAAAAAATCATGACAAGGCTTAAAGTCACAGAATGAAGGGTTCTCAGAAAGCCAAGCTTACCACACATCCTAAAGATGGTCATTAAATAAAAGCAAGAATAAATTTCAGGGTTCAAATATGGCTATATTTCATCAGTTAGTTTTCATGAAGAAGTTACTAATCATTAGACTTGCTACTATCATACTATTTTAACTATACTATGCAATATAACTTTTTCTCTGATTTGGAAACACGGCAAATAGAATACCAAAGTCACCCAGGAAGTAAATTCCTCAACTTTTTCTGACAAGTCATAAACTTCCGGAAGTCAGTGTGGCTGTGTTAGGCTGAAGGGCTTCAGGCCTTAGCAGGCCTCATCTGCTCTCCTCTGGATGTGTCTTTTGGTTCTTTATGGTTTCTCTTTGGGAATTTTGGGGGCTGTGAACGGGACTTGGAAATGGACCTAGAGGGTCTGATAGTTTTGTCCTCAGGGCACCCAAAGGGTCTAGGAGTTGATGTCCAGCCTGTCTCATTAACCATGATGACTGCTGCCTACAGGCCTCAAGAAGGCAAAAGGGGGTGTCTGAGCCCCAGCACTCCGATTTGCCAGTGTCCAGGAACCAATAAGAGAATCAATAGGAAAGTGTTCTGACTTAAAATGACATCTGGCTGGGAGCCTTCCTGATGCTGCCTCTCCCAGCATCCCATTAAAAAGTTTAATGGATTAAAATGCTCTTTGTGAACTTCCACCATCTCTATAAGCCTCGCTACTCCACAGTGTGATGTATGTCCTGGACCAGTCTGCCATTAGTTGAAATAATAAGATGGTGTGTGAAGATGAGGGTGGACTGGGTGCTATTGGCCCAACATAAAGCAAGCACGGCAAGCCTTGAACACCCACATCAGGAAAATGCACCCAAAAGAGTGGTACACCTCCAGGGCATGTGTCCAGTAGCTGACAGGGACAGAAATGGTCTAAAGATCCAGTTCAACAGGCAAGAAGAACAATAAAAAAAACTCCCAAGTCAACAATTTCTAATTCAAATGGACCAGTCTGGGATCCCTTCCTCCTCTCTGTGCATCACCCTGACAAGAAATTGCCTATTAGCTTCACCCAGGCAGCAAGAAGGGAGGCATATTGAAAAGATAAGGTCCCCAGACAAAGCCTGGGGGAGGGGGGGGTCTACTATTTGGGGGAGGGTCTTCAGATCCAGAGTTCTTTGGGTCCTTCTCTTACAAATAATGATGGAGTCCCACTGATGCTCAGGAGGCCAGAATGGGTTTTAACACACCCTATCGCATCCTCCACATCCTCTATCAGAGGCTCCCCCAACACCTGTCTGTGAAGATTATTCTGCCCACAGTCTTGAGGGCAGGAGAAGGGAATAGAGGGCTCCACAGGAGTCCCCATCCTCTGCCTCCAGGGTCTTAATGAAAAGAATGCTTATCCTGACGAGCTTCACAAAAGTTAGGATGGCTGTGCACCAGGTTTACGACTCAGATCTAGTGGAGCCATTTATTAAAGATGCAAAACCCACCAAACCTCCTGAAAGCTAAGACTAAAAGACATACCATTGCATTAAAAAAGGAAGGAAGGAAGGAAGGAAGGAAGGAAGGAAGGAAGGAAGGAAGGAGGGAGGGAGGGAGGGAGGGAGGGAGGGAGAGAGGGAGGGAAGGAGGGAGGAAGGAAGGAAGGAAGGAAAGAACTTCTAAGGCAAATGGAGTGGGACAAAGAACAACCTCTCTGAGCTTGAACTCGTGACTGCGATTTCCCTTCTCTGCATTCCCTGACTCAGACACCTGGATGCACACTAATCAAATTTCCAGTCATCCAACTGTCTTCCTGACAGACAAGAAGAATGCTGGCAAGCCCGGTTTCTCTTTCAAATGGAAGAATATAAGGACAGAGACATGAAAATGATGAGAGAAAATATGATGGATATGGGAGACAAATACCAGAGAGCTAGCATATAGATAAACAGTACTGATCTAATAGAAAACTTCTGGACTGGAAAACAGCATATATATATATATAAGATTTACTGTATTCGGGAAGGGGGTGGAGTCAATAAAAAGAAGCATAGCCCTGGCCAGTTTGGTTCAGTGGTTAGAGCATTGGCCGGTGGACCAAAGGATCTCGGGTTCCATTCCCAGTCCAGGGCACATACCTTAGTTGCAGGCTCCCCAGCCCCAGTAGGGGTATGTGTGGGAGGCAACCAATCAATGTGTTTCTCTCACATTGATGTTTCCCTCTTTCTTCCCCTCCTCCCTCCCTCCCACTCCCTCTAGAAATCAATGGAAAAAATATCCTCCGGTGAGGACTAAGAAAAAGAAGAAGAAGAAGAAGCCTACAATTATATGCTTCCTGACAACATTTCTGGAATACCAAGATAAGGGGAAAATCCACATACATCTAGAAAAAAAATTTCTGGTTGCCTACAAAAGAACAAAAATAGGTTGTTTCAGATTTCTCTACAATAGCAATAGATGCCAGAAGACAATACAAAAAAAAAACAACCCCACACTAAAATGAAGTAACATAAAACTGGTTAAAGTAAAAGAATCATCAGAAGTATGCCAGGCAAATATAAATAAGATTTAAAGAGAGGTGATAATATTATTATCAAAGTAGAAGTCAAGGGAAAACAATATTCTTTTGGACAGAGTGCTATTTTGTAGGTCATTTTACATAGATTAAAGGTTTAATCCAAAATGAGGCTATAGCTATAAAGAACACTCATGCCTTCAATAACATTTCATCAAGATGTCCAAAGCAAAAGCTATCAGATAAACAAATAGCAATGAACAAAATTCAAATATAGTGGAAGGCAACACAACTGTCATTTATTACAAAATCAAAAACAATAAATGAGGATATAGACTAAATACTATGCCCTAGAGATAGAGTCTATACTCATATATCATTTTTAAGTGATATTATCAGGCCACAAATAAAATCCCAATAAATCCCCAACACAGACATTAAATAGGCCACATTTTCTAAACATAATGCAATAAAATTAGACATTATCAACAAATCTTTAAAAGAATGCAAATTCAACCATCTGAAAATGAGAAAATACATTCCCAGAGAGCTCTTAGAATAAAAATAAAATTATAATAGTAATCTCCTACCTAGAAATTAGCAATAAAGGAAATACAATGTATCAAAATTCATGGAATAAGACCAAACTTATACTCAGAGAAAAAGAATTCATAGCCTTAAGTATCTTTATTATTGGATTAAATATAAAAATAAACCACCCATTTTATTCTTCTCTAGAAAAAATATAAAAGAAAGTTATGGAAAAGAATTAATGAATATAAAAACAAAAGCAATAAACTGTGAACAAGAAAATTAGTAGAACCAATATGAAATCCAAGAATTGGCTTATGTGAGAAGATCTATGAATAAACCAATATCTGGATTGGCCAATAAAGAGAAAGTGTTAATATACAGCACCAGGAATGAGAATGGGAGGCATCTCATTCACAGCAGAAAGTTTAAATGATAAAAATAATATTGTAAATCACGCTAATAATTTTGAAAAGCTCCACAAAATGGATTATTTTATACAAAATATATGACCAAAATTTACTCAAGAACCAGCCAAATAGATTTTTTTAAAACCACAGATGAAACAGAAAAAAAAGTTTATAAAAAATATTCCAGATTTAGATGGCTTTCCAATATAATAATAAATATTCAAAAAATGAGACTTCCTATCTCCATTAGGGCAAAGAAAATAAAGATTGCCCAAAAAGTGAACTGCTGACTAACCTCATGTATGAATATGGATGCAAAACTCCTTGATAAAATTCCAGCGAACCAAATCCAGAAGAGTCTTTTAAAAAGAATATATCAAGACCAGGAATGATTTATTTTAGGAGTGAAAAAGGAGGTCAATATACAGAAATCTATTAATATAATTCATCTCATCAATAGTTCAAGGAAAGGAAAATCAATAAATGCTCAAAATGCATTTTATAAAATTCTACATCCATTGCTGAGAAAAACCCGATCGAACCAGAATAAAAAGATATTTCCTGAACATAATAAAGAACAACCATCTCAAGCGCTTGTGGTAAAAGAATTTCCATTAAAAAGTCCGAAACAAGACCAGGATGATTACTCTCTAACCTATTACTGAACATGTTCTGCGAGTTCTAACAATGCAATGGAAAAACTGGAAATATAAACCAAAGAGTAGATGTTGGAATGAAGGATGCAAAATGACCATTACTTGCAAATTATGTGATTTTTGTATATACAAAACCCAAAAGAATTGAATGAGAAGATACTGAAATTTAAGAGTTTGATAAGGGGCTAATATATATATCTCCAATGATTCCCCTGGGTTACAGCAAAAACAGAAAGAAAATTAAATGGAGAATCTTTTGAAATAACAAAGTTACATAAAATTGTCAGGATAAACTTAACAAGAAATTAATAGCAACTATATGAAAATAATTCCTAAACTTTTCTGATGCACATTAAAGAAAAAGTAAATAAATAGAAGACATATAACATTTCTGAAAAAAATTTAAAATTCATTCATGCAAATATTTTTTATGGGTTTTTAAAATTGATTTTAGAGAGAGAGGAAAGGAGAGGGAGAGAGAGATAGAAACATCGACGAGAGAGAAACATCGAGTAGCTGCCTCCTACATGCTCCCTACTGGGGATAGAGACAGCAACCTGGCATGTGCCCTGACTGGGAATCAAACCGGTGACCTCTTGCTACATAGGTCGATGCTCAACCACTGAGCAACACTGGCTGAGCCATGCAAATATTTGTTAAGCACCTACTATGTTCAGAAATGTACCTAAGTCCAGGACACTAGATTCTAGGACATATTAGGGAATAAGACATACAAATACCTTTTCCCCTGTGGAACTTACATTCTAACATAAATTATAAATTTAAAAATTCTCCACCAATTTAATCTATCCATTTAAAGTAATTCAATCAACATCCCAAGAGAAAATTTTGAGGTGAAGGGGAGACTTGACAAATACTTTTAAAGTTATTTTAAAGAATCAACTGGTACAAATAGTTGAAAAAATTGGCAAATGAGTAATTAAGGGTATTTGACTAAATGATAAACCATAGGAAAATGTTTCTAAGCATGCACTCAAAAGCAGAAAACAAAGGAAAATAACAATGGATTCAACTATGTGGAAATTAAAGCGCTCAACAAGACAAAAACATATTAAACAAAATTAAAAGGCAAGCAAGACACTGGAAAAAAACCTGCAATGTATTTGACAGATAATAGAGAAATAGTCTTACTTTATAAAGATTTGAAAATCTATAAGAAAAGAATACATGAGTAGGAAAATGGGCAAAGGATGTGACAAACAATTTACTACAAAAGGAAAATCATGTCCAATAAGTGTATGAAAATACATCCAACTTCGTTAGTAACTGCACATTAAAACACAAATAAAGGATTTTTCATCATCTGTCAAATCATGAGGATGAAACAAATGGTAATACAAACTGTGGATCAGAATGGAGTAAATGGGCACTCTAGTGCATGGCTGCGGGGAATGTAAATTGGTTCCATCTTTCTCCGGGGATATTTGACATTATGCATTAAAGTCTATAAAACATGCATATACTTCAATCTAGAAATTCAACTCCTAGTGATTTATCTTAAGAAAAGAATCACAGATGTAATCAGATTTATTTACAAGGTTGAATATTGCAGCAGCATCAGAAGCAGAGCCAGGTACTTCTCTGGCTGCTGCTCTGCTCTCCCAGGTCTACTAATGCAACTGCAGACTCACCCCGTAGCCTGGCAACCAAGCTGCTTCTTGCTGCTCCTTTCTCTCGTCCCCACCCCACTTCCCCAACCCGCTGCTCCTGGCAGCTCCCCTGCTCCCCACATACTCATGGAAGATGTTGGGAAGACTGCGTGGGAGGTGCTGGCCATGAAGTCCGCGATCTGCCGCAGGGCCCAGATGTTGGAGGAATTGTTCCCCTTCTTCATCTGCTCCTGGATGAGGCCTTCCAGCTCCTCCCTGAAAGACTACAAGCAGGCGCAGAGGCGCTGGTCCCCCAGTGCATCTCAGGAGACCACGGGACCCCCTTCCAAGTGCCCGCCCCACCCCAGGTCAGCAAGGCCGGGGCCACACTTGGGATTCCTGGGCCCCAGAAGACACTGGGCAATTTCACTGGGATTTAGGATCCTCCCCAAACTGCTATTGGGGGAGCCACAAAGAGATGCTGAGAATGGATCCTGCTCACTTTGACCAGTGGGCAGTACTCCAGATTCCAGGTAACTTCCTGTGTCTAAGTGATAGTCAAGGTTGGCAGGACTTCAATTTAGTAACTGAGACATGTTAAAAAGCAGAACTGAATGAGAAAGCATGCCCATCTTCCATTAGCTGTGCCTATGGATTTTTTGAGCCTCTCCGTTTCAGAAGGATTTGATGACTTCTGAGTTCTCCACTTCTGGTTTCCCACTACAGTACTCTCAGCCTGGCTTTTCAGAACCCGCAGGCATGTCTGTCCACCAGGTGGCAGCAGGGAACACTCGTGTTGGTGACTATAAAAGGGGAGAAGCAGCCTGAGCTCCTCCCATCCCCATCTCCTGCCTGGGAATAGAGTCCCATCCTCTCAGGCTCGAAACCTGCCACTTCTCCTCCCACACCTGCCACCCTCCTAGTCACACTCTGGGGTTTTTCCACCGCCCCAGTGCTTTTAGCACCTGCCATATTCCTTCAGGCGCCCCAACACAGTGTCACCTGTCACCAAGACCGCAGGCCATCCCTTGGTGCTCCTCTGTGAGGCCTGAGCATTCACTGTGTGCTCTCAGCTGGGGTCACACATGCCCATGCAATGCCCTGGCTCTCAGCTGGGGTCACACATGCCCATGCAATGCCCTGGCTCTCAGCTGGGGTCACACATGCCCATGCAATGCCCTGGCTCCCCAAAGCAGTGAGGGCTGAGGCAGAGCCCATCCTGGCAAGCACCTGGAGATACCAGCTCCACCCGCTGAGCTTCCCAGCCCTTGGGATCATGCACTGTTTCCTGAGGACCCCTCAGCTCTACCGCCCTCAGACTCCCATGCTCTTCCTCCCCCCGGCCCAAGAGCGTGTGCCCCCTCCCACTTCAGTGGTCCTTTAGGCCCACGTGATGTCCTTGCCTCAAGGATGAGCTGAGTCCTTGCCAGGCAGACACCACCTGACCTCCTCTGGAGCTTTGGTGGGATGATCCTCACTTGCTCTCCCTTCCGGGGCCCGTGTCCCATAAGCCCCTGAATTATCGACTCCCCCCACCTCCTGGGGCTTTGCGGCTCTCTTCACCCCTGCCCCGGGCATGTCAGCCTTATTGCCCCAACTGTGAGTCCTTTCTGGTGTTCGGGAAGGGGAGTCTCAAGTCTTCCACGTGGCGCCCTCTGCTGGCCTCCGGTTTACGCACATTTGTTCATTGTTAACAGCTTTTGGCGAGGAAGGAAGACTGGAAACCGAGGCTCAGAAGGGGCACTGGAAACGGAGGTGGGGCGCTTGTCTCTCAGACTCCCCGATCCAAACCACCTACACCTAAGCCAGGTTTTGCCACCCACCAGCCACCAGAGAGAATCAGACACCCTGGTCTAGCTCAGCTTGAAATCGCTAGGACCCTGAGCGCGTGAAAGAGGAATTCTCTTCCAGGTTCACCCAGACGCATCAGCGCAACCCCCTCGCACGCCCGGCGGGGCGGGCCTGGGGCAGACCCACGCACCGGGCTCTGCAGGATCATGGTCACGCGCTTCTTCTGCTCCATCAGGGTTGAAGTCCTGCCGCAGGTCCCGCCGCGCGGGGGCGAAGGCGCAGTACTCAGGGTCGTCCTCAGAGAAGCGGTCGTTTAAGTGCACCCCCTTTGGGGGCGGCGGGGAGGCGGCCTCGGGGGCAGGCTCCTCGCTCATTGTCCTGTGGGTTCACGATCCACCCCTGGAACCCTGCGGAGAAGGGAAGAGGGCGGACAGGTTGGAGCTCCCCGTCGGGGTGCGCGGGTCCTAAAGCAGAATTCACAGTGGCATGCGGCTATTTCCAGGAGGCTGTAGGCGGGGCCGCGGGTTAGAGGGCAGGGCTCGCCGACAAGTGCCGATCCTTAGGGGGCGCTACTGCATCACTGGACTAAGTGAAAATAAGGCACCCGCCCAGGTGTCCACCACCCCTCCCCGACTAACCCGCCAGCCTCACATGGCCACCGTCCAGTTGAAGCGGACAGTCCCCCCAGAGCCGGCGAGGATGTCTGTGACGCCTACCTTACACAGAGTAAAGCTATTTACTGGGAATGAGCACTTCAGCTAAAACGGCAAGCCCCTAAGACGCCTCCTAAAAAAATGTTGGCGGGAAAATCACAAAAGAAAACTGAAAAGAGAGGAGGACCATGGAAAGGTGGGGATGCTTTTCTGCACAACTTTGACTTGCTCTGGCCTCTGTAAAGGATGGAGGATGCAGATGTTTCTCTTTGGGCATCTCCCCCCTCCCCCCACGCCTCTGTCCCCAGTGCCTCTCCCTCAGGCCAAATGCCCAAAGAGAAACATCTGCAAAGAACACAGATGACCTACTGACAGTTGCTTTGTGGGTTCAAGCCAATCCCACGTGGTGGGGTTGGCTAAGAACCTGTCACCTAGCCTCATCCCTGGAACTTGGGGCGTAAGAAGAGACAGACTGCAAGGTCAAACATAATGGGAACGCATTAGACTGGCAGTCACCACCCAATTTTTCTGGGCAGACGGCGCTGCAGACCAAAATTCTCCCAGAGGCATCACCCACTGCTCCCTACCCCTTTTAATACTCCTTGGCCCTTTCACAGCCTCCGATCCTTTTAAAAATAGCAACAAGCAACTCCCCCAACAGTAGGTGCATAGGATGTGCACCCAGAGACCCCTGGGCTCCTTCTGACTGCAGGTTCCACCAGCTGCAGAACCACCTGGACTCTCTGCTTCTCTGGGACCAGCACAGACTAGTCCGGAGCCTTCCTGGCCTGGATCCTTTCCATCCTGGCAGGAGAGGCTGGTTCTCTCGGCTCCCCTGTGGAGTGGCGGCAGTTCCCAGGCATGGGTCTGAGAGGCTCTGAAGTAGCTCTCCACGCCCTGAAGCACCAAGAACAATGGCCCGCACCGCCATGCCCCAGGCCTGCCTTCACCTCTCAGCTCGGCCCAGAGGCGCTCTGGTGGGTGTGGGGTAGGAAATGCAAGCACTCACTCTCTCACCATGACAACAGGGGCCCGCTCAAACCTTTTGACTTTGTGAACCAGAGGTATCCTTTCATGCTCCTCCCTTCCCTCCCCACCCCCCTTCCCGCAATGCTTCCTTGGTGATCAAAGTTGTATGCGGAGTGGCTTAGTGGTTAAAAGGGTGGACTCTGGAGTTCAGAGTCCAGCTATGCCAGTTATCAGCTGTGTGATCTTGGGCAAATTGCCTAACCTCCCTGTGCTTGTTTCCCGTCTATAAAACGGGGATTGCAACTACTTAGCTACCTCTTTATGCTGTGTGAGGATTCCATTAGTTAATGTATATGAAATACATACTTGAAATAGTGTCTGGTGCATAGCAAGTGGTATTAAGCATTCATTTAGAGGCTAGAGTCATCATAGCATTAAGAACTCCGGTAATGAGAGGCTCTGATTCGAGTGTAAACAGGTGTACACTAAATAACTGTAATTATATGTTTTAGTCCAAAAATAATTCAATCTTGAGCTATATGAACAACAGGAAGAGCATGCAGAAAAGACTGGTGAGGATGCCTAGTTCTCTGACCAGACAGGGGGTCATGTCCACCTGGAGATACAGGAAAGAGTGAGCAGGATGCTGAAGATCGGAGGAGCCAGCATTTGTTGTACTGGCGGGACAACGTAAAGAGTATATCTGGTGGGTATTTGTCCCCAGTTTCTGGGACAGAGCTTCAAAAACCCTCGGGACTTCTAAAATGTCCAAAGACATTGGGAATGTCTTCTGTTATTCATAATGAGCCCCTTTCGCCAAACCTGAGTTTATGCTCATGAGGTGACTTACAGTGGGCCCTTAGATAGTTTCAAGGGAGGGACTGGCCACCAGGAAAAAAACAAACCCTTAATTAGAGTGTTGCAACCTCATCCCAACCACACAGGAAGGGAGGGGGAGGGGCTGGAGGTTGAGTTCAATCAAGTGGCAAATGATTGAAACCATTATGCCTTATAAAGCCCCTTTCCCCAATAGTGACCCCGCCCCCCATTAAAAATCTCTGACACAGGCTTCCTGGTTGGTGAGCACATGGCTGGGCTGGGCTGTGACACACTGGATTCCACGAGGAGAGGGTAGGAGGCTCTGCACCACATCGCCAAGCCCCAGACCCTGCCCTATGCGTTGCCTCCATTCGCTGTTCCTGAGTCGGATCCCTTATACTAAAACTGTCATCAGAATCACAGTGTCTTCGGTGAATTCTGTAATTGTTCTACTGAATTCTAGAAAGTGAAGGGGAGATATGGACATCCCTACATCTACATCCTAGCCAGTGAGAAGTGTGGGTGGCCTCTGAAGCAGGGGCCATCTTGTGGGCAACCTTGCCGTTAGCTTGTGGCAATTACCTTGTGTGCCCTTTGACTCTGGGTAGTGTCAGAACCCAGTGGCTTCGTAGGATGCCCAGTGAGTGTCAGAGAACCGGTGTCAAAACGGCACCAGGCCACTTCTATTCATGATTTATTTTCATTCCCAGAGCCACTCTATGAGACAGACATTATTGTCCCCGTTTCATAGGTAAAGAAACTGAATCAGAGAGGATTAACTAACTTGCCCAAGATCACAGAGATAACAGTGGAGCCGGGTTTCAACCAGGACTGCCTCTGGCTCCAGATCCACACTCCTCCCCTCCAGTGGTCCCAGGTACCTGTTGGGCTGCCATGTGGAAGAGATTTAGGCTGACTCCTTGGAGCCTCAGGAGCCAGAACCAGAAAAGCCAGTGGTGGCTGCAGGCAGGCAGGTTCCAGTGAAGCGCGCGAGGGAGAACTTCCCATCAGCAGGATTTGCTCAGT